GCCACCAAGCGTTTCCTCCTCTTTCGTAACGCTTCTTTACCCCGGGTATTTATCGTTACCGTTATGGATCTTCATACGCGACGAATTATTATATCGTTCCCCTTGTTTTTCGCGATTTTATAGCCACTCGAAGGGGCTCTTCAACGAAAGACGATGAACGTCCGAGCAGTGAAGAATATAACGTTTTCGTTTTAGTCCTCGCAACGTCTAATATTCCGAGATAGTATCCAAGTAAAATTATAGACTGAATATATAAAACACTCCGTGTCATGCATGGCCGCTCTACCGTAAGCTTTCTGACAATTCCAGCTTACTTTTTCAATTTTTATTTTATCGCACCGAGCAGAACAGCAGCATCGTCGAAATCGAAATCGAAATTGATAAAGATGCCTATAAATCGTGTCCCATCGGATTCTTTCCTCGAATATCATCGAGGCGTGGAATTTTCTAAATCCTGTCTATCCGCGTTGGTCGAAAGAGACGGTGTGTCGCGATTACGCAACGAGCCTTATAAATATTTCATTCGTCTTCTGGCACGACGATGCAAGGACAAATTTTGAAACTGGTAAAAGATTAGGATTTCTGTACGATGCATCGGCGTGTAAGATTCGGTTCAGCTCCGATGTAGAGGGAAGAGGCAAAAGTGACGAATTTAATCCGAGTCTGGATAACGAGTACGCGGGGTCCCGTGGAACGGAGAGCGGGCAACTTTATGCCCGTACGATTATAGGTGTCTGGGATCCCGGGGTGCCCCTATCCGTTTTCTCTGCGCCGTTGGATGGTGGGACACCCCACTGCAACCTGTCAGAACTCCAATTTGCTCTACTCCGTTCGGTTGCTACGTGTGGATGCCACCGTACTCACACACCCGTGCACCCACCGGCCACGCATACACCCAGTGATCCACTCGTAAACGCGCGTTACACGATATACACCGTATCCTCTTGAACCGTTACTTTTTTACTTCTTTTTTACAATATTTTAAAGCTTAACCCCTTCTCCTATGATTTTTTTTTTTATAGTTGCGTCAGTCAAAGCTAACGTTCATTGCTTGAATTTAAAAATAAATAAAGAAAATTAAAATATCGGATAAATTATAATTAGAATTGAACCCAAAATTCAACCGTACTAAAAGTATTAGCAAAATTTCACACGTTTCAATTGTGAGTTGCGTCACGAGTGTGACTCGATATTATATAGCAAAGGGTTAAGGTACTCCTATATCATCTTACCCTAATTTATCCCGAAACCGTCGCGTCGAGCTTCTCGATCTATCATCCTCGACAGCAGTTTCGAACTTTCTTTTTTACTCGAAACAGTAGCCTTTCTCGTCCGTCGCATCGGTCACGTTGACAGTCCGTTGGATATTTAAAAATTCCCGAAATTAACACCACGTATACGAAGGCTCTTAAGTGTAATGCACGCGGATGAAACAGCGCATCTGCATAAATTTTCGTTTAATTCATCAACCCTTGCTCGGTCGCGACTCGCTCAGGTATTTCTACAGGAAACCTAATACTTGGCGTGTCAGGCAAAAGGAGATTCCTCGCGAGATCGTGAGAACCATCATTTTCCAGCTAGCTTCATTCCAGATTCAAGAGGTCTATTCGTTTATTCAGACAACTGTGTTTCTTTTCTTTCTTTGTTTTCCGACTTTAAAAGTCTACCTTTTATCGAACGCTACGGCTCGTGCTTTAACGCGTTTGCCATCCGTGTTTTGAAACGTGTTAGAATGTTATTTCGAATGTTGACTATTTCTTTCTGCAAAGCAAGATATATCGGCGATACTTTATTATCCGTTAACTGCCTGTAAAATCCACCGTGTTATTTTCTTTGAATAAACATTATTATTTAAATAATATTTAATAGCCTCGTCACGCATGAGTCTTCGTTCGAAACGCGTTAACCTTTTGATTTATAACGTCGAATTACTGGTACCGTAGGTAGCGGTCTACTAATTAGTTATCGTCGTGTTTCAATTTGCTTAACGATTAGACAAGATAATCTATACTCTGATTTAATTCGTGTTTTTTTGAATATCTCTGAACTGCCGTGTAATTTGTTTGACAAGCTTATGCAATCGATTCGTAGCTTACCCATACCGTCGAATAATAACAAAACTACGTTTAAAAATATATTCGTTGAAAATTATTTAATGAAATTATTTTCGATAAAGCAATAACAAGGGAGTGATTATATTTTCGTCGAATCGAGCCTTCCTCTCTCCGCCCGTGTTTATTCAATTACACCGTAAATCCCGATCGAGTATTCGCCGTCTCCCTTTCGGATGTATCATAAATCGCGTTTAATCTCGATGTTATGGCTGACTAAAGCTTCCTGGCATCTCAGGCGCTACAAGTGCGCCGCGTTAAGAAATTATTAATATCCATTGATTCCAGCATTCCCTCCTCCCGTACTCGTACAGTATCGTTCAATATTTTTCCTCGTTAGCCCGTACGAAGTGTCGCGAAGAGGTGGAAAAGAAAAAAAAATAAGAGACGTCAGATTTTTTATTCCCTTTTTCGACACGACGATGGACCGAGAGAAAAAAGAGGAAGAAGGGAAGAAAGATGAATTAAAGTCGCCTTCTCTCGCGATCCAAGTTCGCGTTGCATCGAAATTGTCCGAGATGAAGAACGTCAGCGTGTTCCAGGGGTAATTTAGATTTAAACGAGAGAGAAATATCGGTGGATCCAGCGAGAGCGCGGATATACCGCGCATCCCCGCAGCTAACTCGCGGAGGAGAAGAGGATTCCTCGCGATGCTCGCAGGTGGACGGTTGCTTTTGGACCACCGTGTAGTAGCCAGCACACAGGCGGGGGTCTTATAATATCGCGTCATACGAAACGATGAAATAGTGGCCGTAGCGAAGGAATGTTCCCTACCACTTGAGTCGTCGAGTTGAGTTGACTGGCGTTGCGTGGCTCTCCCGGCTCTCCCGGTCTCTCCCGGCACTACTCCTCTCACCGCGACTGCTTTTAACCGGTGTGCCTGTTCCTCCACGGTTAGCTCGCCTGCTTACCTCTTTCTTTCCTTCCATTCTTTCGAACCTCTCGGCCGCGCTTCACCGTGTATCCTCACCTACGTGCGCCTATCCTTTCCACGGCAATCTTTCATTCCGCAAACGCGTTTCTACGAATGCCACGGTGAAACGAACGCTTCTGAATTCCACCGATCGCGTTTTAAACGGCTGACCTAACGAACGACTCGATCGAAGGAAATTGGTCCTCCGATAGGTGTTTCGAACACACGGTCGTTCCGTGCGGTAGTCGAAGCAGCTTTCCGAACCTTGTAATCGTCCGTATCGTAATACCGTGGTACCAGCCGAGATAAGGTGAAGGAGGGTAACGTAAGCAGAAAAGAGGAGCCGTGAGAGAAGGTAGGCGAGAAAGGGAAACAGGCTGGGTGGAGAGAGATTCAAAAGGTGCTCAACGGGCCAGGCGTGGGCTACTCGTGATCATCATGACAAAAGCTGCAGGCAAACATCCATTCAATTTATTAGCTTATAGGCACGCCGTCGTGCCTACTATACGCACCACCTACGACACCACCAGCAACCGCCTATAATGCTCCTAACATTATGGCCAGTCCGCGGAGCGGACCGGACGGTTCGCGCGACCCTCGTTCGCCTCCTTTCTCTCCCTTTCTACCTCTCTATACGCTCTTTTACCCCGTTACTCTCTTTTCCCCCATACAGTTACACTTTTTACGGTGTTAACCTCTTACGGCTACGATATTTCAACCTGCGAGAAAGAAACGGACTCGATTCTATTTAAACCGCGCGCGGTTCAGAGTTTTCTCGGAGAATTCCAAAGATCCGTGGCGAACTATTTTTCTTCCGTCCAAGCCTGCTACTTTTATTCGTTTATTTTCATCCTTTATACAATGTACGCAAGGAAGATGGCTAAGGGATACAAAATTCACGCTCGCTCGTAATTAAGTGGTCAGGAGAAGAAAAAAGAATAAAAGGAGGGCGAAAAGAGGGAAGGGAAAGGTTTAGCACGCGCGCGGAAAGATTGGTTCGTCATCGATCGGGTCGACACGACGATGGAATATTACGTTTCACGGGCTGGCAGCTTCGACGCCCACGATTAACGAGCAATGTTGATGATAACCACGCCTACGTGCCGCGGTAACGTCGCGTATCCGTTTTACGAGGCCATTTTCGGTGCGCGCGAACGTCCGAAATCTCGTCGTCAACGACGTCTTCGATGCCTCGAAGGAGAGCGAAACTGCGCGATACAGGCCGGTGAAAAACGACACTGTAATCCGTGAGCATTGTCCACGTCGTTGGCACCGGTCGTTCGTTAAATCGACCGCCTTATATTCGACAAACTTACGCGCCTTCCGGCCAAATGACACCTCCACACAACCAGACCCGGCAATCTGTGAATTTACCGATAAATAACCAGGCGAATATATCGTTTCTCGCTAAACGTCTATCCTGCTTTCCTTCCACCGTCCTTCGAATTCACTCCTTCCATCGCGCATTATCCGCGCTGAGTATGTTAATAATCGAATATACTCCTTTAAAGAACGCGTCAAACGGTACGGAACGTTGGTCGAAACAAAAACGAGCATGTTCTTGTCCCCGTGATCGATATTTGACCTTTTTCTGCTCCACTTTACGAGGGTGCACACGAACGAGCGAGCGATTAACCAGCAGATTTCTTACCTGACCGTGTTTGTCCATGTCGTTGTTCGTCAGCTTGACCTTCTCGAACGAGACCACCTGCTTTCGAAGCTGATCCCCGGTGAACGGGGAATCCGGGTGAACGTAGAGCCTGGCTGGTGCCGGAGGATCCGCTTTGCCAGCGACCAGCCAACAGCTCCGATGATACGCGTATCGGTATCGTTTGTTGTCCACCGGCACGATGTCCATCAACACCGCGTACCTGCCATCCGATTTCAATCCGCTGAACGACACACGGCAGGTGGGGAACATCCGTCTTGAAACAAAAATCGTTTTATGTTAATAAGAATTCTAGAGTTGACTGTACGCGGACCAGCGTAGTTTACATCGTCTTTATCTCCCTCTGTTATTTCTTTCTTTCTCTTTTTAAACGATACGATCTTGTACGCGAGACGATCGTTGCTTTTTCGAAGCAACGAGGAGTACGAAGTTGTCCTCGTTTTTATTTTTATCACACCGATGGAAAATTTGACGTTTAACCTCGAAAGGACAAATCAATAGTGAAACGACATGAACGAGTCGCGAAATTGACGGACCGGTTTAAACGCATCTGGCGAAAAGAACGAAACGGAAATGCGAGCGAAATAGTCGAGGTGGTTCGAAAGATTCTTGGAACGAGTGGGTTTTCGTCGGATACCCGGAGTCGTCGAGTTCGAATCCGAGGCAAAAGGCGCGTCTAACTAGCCAGGCTTGATTGAAAGGAGCGCCCGCAGGCCTTTCAAGCTTCGTTACGAGCGAGTCACCCTTGAACCTCGTTATATGCAGTCAACTTTTCAACACCTTCGGCGTCGAGGCGCACGCGCCGCACAGATGCGCCTTCTCGTTGACGTCAATGCGTCCGAGAACACCGAGGTATTCTACTAAGGCTTCGCGAAACCACCAAGAGGAAGGAAAAAAAATTACACTTTTAATAAGATTCATTTTGTAAATTCATCGTCGTTTGTACATGGCGGACAAAGATATGAGTTTGTCGCGACGGAACCAATGTCCAGGACCGTGCAATCCTCGAAACCGAACCGGTCGAAAAACTTGCCTTCAAAACGTACTATCGCTTCTCGACGAGCTACCTCCCTGCATCCGGACGAGAATTTGCGAGGACGATTTGCTTGCTTTATTCGATAAATCTCGCCGGTACACCAACGGAGGACCAGATACTCAAAAGGTAACGACGACTTCCGAATACCTGTCCCCGGAGTCAACGCGATCGCCGAGCGAGAAAATGACAAGCGAGAGAACACTGATCGAGAAAATGATAAGCGAGAGAACACTAATCGAGAAAACACAGAGCGAGAGAACACAGAGCGAGAGAACACCAAGCGAGAGAACACAACGCGAGAAAACACCAAGCGAGAGAACACAGCGCGAGTTAACACCAAGCGAAAGAACACAGAGCGGGAGAACACCGAGCGAGAGAACACAGATCGGGAGAACACCGAGCGAGAGAACACAGATCGGGAGAACACCGAGCGAGAGAACACAGAGCGAGAGAACTCAGAGCGAGAGAATACAGAGCGAGAGAACACAGAGCGAGAGAACACAGAGCGAGAGAACACAGATCGGGAAAACACCGAGCGAGAGAACACAGAGCGAGAGAATACAGAGCGAGAGAACACCGAGCGAGAGAACACAGAGCGAGAAAACACCGAGTCGTCGTACGGAGAGTGTAAAAACGGCGGAATCGTTTGAAAAAAAGATGCAAATGTTTCGAAAAATGAAGGTTTCGTCTAATAAACTGGATAAGGAAGAAAAGGAGAGCGGGAAGGTAAAAGGAAGACAAGATAAAGGTACGAATACAGAAGACAAGGAAACTCAGACGGACTCCTCGGCGAACGAGGAGGCGGCTAGAATATTCAGAAAATGTTGCAATACTATCGGAAAAGGATGTGTTAGAGCACAAAACGTGGTGGCACGTGGAATGCACGCGTTGGATTTGATCAACTTATCACCATCTACTTGCCGTATGATCAACGCGATCACCTACGCGATCATTATCTTTCTACCGGCCATGTTCTCGTGCAACAGCCCCGCTTATCAAATCTTTTTATCCAGTCAAATTTGCGGGATCCTCGTAATGTTGAGCTGGAGAATCTCCGGAACCGTTCCTTTCTAACGTGAATCTCGACCTCGTTCGCCTTTTTCCCCTCTTCGAACGCCGGGGAACAGAGATAAACACAGCGTTCGCGACACGCTGAAAGTTACAAGAGAAGAACCACGAGATAATTATACGGCCACCGACGACGACGCCAAGAGCTTACGATCCAGCTTGGTTAACAACGATCACGTTGAAAGCCACGAATGCAACAAATCGTGAGATCGCGTTCATTGAATGACGGCCGGAGCCGAGACCGCAAAGCCCGCAATCGTTTTAAAGTCATCGACCGCAAGATACGATTCACGGACCAACGAGCTTTCGATTTCTCCGCGATTCAACAACGATACACGAGGAAACACGTTTAACCCTTCATCGAGGCTCGAGTTCTGTTTGTTATCAGAAATTTTCACGAAAAGAAAACACGTTACAAGATCGCTCGGATTTCTGGTAAGCACCGATCGTGACGACCGATAAATCATCGAAGAAATTACCCGTCCCGAAGGGTCGTCGTCCCCTACATCGAACACCATTGGGCAAATACATTCGAACGACTATTAAGTATCGATAGTAAGTCAATCGAGTACTCCCTCGATCCTTTATCGTCCCTAATTCCCGTTATCCTACTAACCGTTCCGTATCCTTGTCTCTGTCGAGAATGATTGCGAACTAATCTATCGTCGACTGGTTTCTTTCAAAATGTCAATTAATCAACGAAACGCGATCAAACGTGGAGAAAAATCGTTTTCCAATCTACCATTCGTTCCCCGTCCTTGTTTTTGGTACTCGGCGTCGTTCTACTGTATTTCCCTGTCAAATTAGGCAGAAACAAACAAGCCCTCCATGGGCCGTGGCTAACGAGCCCATAATCGCAGGAACACCTCGACCCCAAAGCACCCCGACGAGCTGGAAGCACGGCTACGCGTACACAGTAACGTATATATGTACATCTGTTTGTCCGCAGTAGAAACGAAGCATCGTGTGGGTGCGTTTCGGGAGTTAGAGGGAGTCCGTGAAGCCATCAGGCCCGAGGACAGACAGAAGCGGCAGGAAGGGCTGCTACAAATGGATTACGGAAGCAGTGGATATTATAGCGATCCGAAGGGCCATCCGAGTTACTTAAATGTTTGTCGTGCTAACGACTTCGCAACGCTCCGCGCCAGGTGTTGTTCCTGTTATAATTATATGCCCGTGGCACTTTTCTTCGTCGTGAAATAGCCAGCTTCGAAACGTTTCGAGGATTAGTTATATAAAATAACGCGTTTCCCGTACAATTCATACCAACAGCTACTCGATTAAAACCCTGTTTACACAAACGTCTCGTTCCGTCGAGTAAAATTTGCCTAATGTAAACGTCGCTTAAACGATTCGACGATTACGCGACCTTTTACCTAAAGTGGGCCGCAAAAGTATTCAAGCACCGTTTGAAACAGAGTGTACCTCGTTTAAAATTGGGCCGAAGCGGTACTCTATCAACCCAGCAGAAATTCGATCAGATACCGTACGTCAATATCGGAGGCGATCCTTTCTCGCTAGTCAATCGAATTGTTAGCCGAGTCTCGATTTTTCGAATTCTCCAGTTTCTCCGCTTTTCCCTATCCGTCGTCTTTCCGTTCCCCGCCGCGGCGTTCTGTCGTGTTTCGCGATCCGTGTACGTTCTCGCGTAACGTGCACGTTCAGCCTGGCGAGCGAGGCACGCGTGAGTGTATAATGTAGGTTGCTGGCACCTTGATGAAGGGTTCGCGTGACGAGTACCCTCTGTCTGCCGGTATCCTGTCTCGCTCTCCGCTGACCTGCTCGTCCACACCTTCTATTCTGCCCCGTTGATTCCCAGTCCACGATCGCCTACTTAAACTTTGAAAAATATACACGTAGCTCGCGAACTGAGCCCGTACGACTTGCCCTCCAACTAGCCGGAACCGTACCCAGCGGAAACGACGCTCTTCGCTAGGCGAATTCCCGTTCGACGCTGACGCGGTGACACAGACCGAGGGATCGACGTCGAATGAGAAAGAAACCGTATAGGTCAGGTGGATCGAGGTTCGACGAAAACTCGTTGATTACACGTTTCGAAGCGAAAGACCGGCTCTACTCTCGCGACTCGCTCTTTAGATCAAGAACGGGCAACCGAGTGTTTCCTTAAAAGTCTCGGAGAACGCGTTACCAACGGTTCGTTCCTTCGTGTTTGCACGATTTCTTTCTTTCTTTCTTTCTTCCTTTTCCACGGCAATGACGTCGTTCGACTTTGCACGCACGAAATTGGCTTTGTTCACGATATTGAAATCGGGGCCGTCGGGAGTAAGCAACTCGAAGAAAGGAAGAAAGAGGGAAAGAGGAGAGAGGTAGAGAGAGAGAGGGAGTAAAAAGTGGCGAGTGCCAACGTGGGAAAAAAGAGCCCGTGAGCCTAGTCGTGGAGGAAGAATCAGAGGAGTATATGGTGCTGGCACCCCGTAGGGCCAGACAATTCCACCTGATTGGTCCGAATTCGTATTGTCACTCGAGAGACTGACGTTTTCGTTCAGCTGGGATTTCGTGCCAAGTTTCTCGTGCTAACGACGCTATTCGTGCATCGCCACGTTTCTTGATATATCGATCGTGCTCGGGAAGAACGTCAGCCGCAGCGACACGCCCCAAAATTATTTAGAAATTTTTCTCTTTTTTTTCTTTCCAACCCTTCCGACTCTCGACGAATTTCTATTCGTTATAGATCGCTTTGATCGCCAATGTTTCTTCGATTTCGAATAATCGTAATTACCAAAAGTAATTCAAGGATTTTTTCCCGAATGGATATCGTAGACGAAGGAACGCGATTACTCGCGGATTCGATCGATCACGGTTCGAGGGCAGAGAACAGGAAATTGAACCGGGGACAGCGTTAGACGAGGCTCCCTTGCGTCCAAATATCATCGTAATTTCGACATGGTCACGCATCCTTAGAGCTCGCGCAGCTGCGGCCTCGACTTTATTAGCATACCTATAAAAATGAAGGTGCACACGAGCGCCCGCGTGTTCCGTAGCCACACAGAGGCACAAATTACCGCGATAAATTACACCAAAAGCTCCCTTAAATATCTCGTAAAACGCCAATCAATGAAATCCATTAGTTCGAGTACGTCGGGTTCGAAACGTGTGTGTCTGTTTTTTTTTTTATTTCCCCTTTCCGTTTCTGTACGACTCGTCGCAATTTGCCAGTGACAGACGGTAAAAGCGGCGGAGAAGCTTTTTACCGTAAGCCAGACGGGGGTCGAAGGTGACATTTTTACTTTTTGGAAGCATAATCGAATTTTTACAATTGTCATAGTGTAAACGCGCGTTGATATATTTTCAAATATTTGACTGGTTAGTTTGTTGCCGAGGTCTACCCCAACTGCGAGCCGCGTGTTCGAGCGGCGATAATTAACGAGCGCCACGGTAATCGTAGCGGCGTAACGGCGGGTAATTACGGCCGAAAAAAGAATTCCCTTTTCCCGTTAGCGGGCGAACGCGTTTTTCGTTCGCCGCGCCTTCCAATTCGTTTACACTTGGCAAATCGAGGCAATTATCGAAGCCGTAACTCGAACGAACGGAAAGCAATTTACCGTGGGACCACCTCTCCTCGATCGTCCCTCGTATTCCATCCCCTTCTTTTAACACCGATGATTATTTCTTCGAGTTCCGTTCGATCTGTTCCGCGATTCCCTGGAAATCCTGTTCGTTTCGCGACCACCGGACAAATATGTAACCCTCTCTGTCTCTGGCGGTTCGGCCATCTTCCGTTTGCACCTGCGCAGGCCGTGCCACGCGAGCCGACTTATCGGTGGCTATCGGTCGCGGAAACCGACCGATACGCCACTTTACTAACCGATACGACACGCCACTCACCTTCCTGTCTTCGTGATGATCATCTCGGTGCCGAGGTCGTTAAATTTGTCCCACAGTTCCTTCGTCTCGAGGTGGCACTCGACGTCACGAAGCTCGTCGGAATTGCAGCTGGTTCTTAACCGGTGCTTCCGTTCGTGATCGTTGTAAGAGTCCTGACACTTTCTCGTCGACGAGGAACCGGTCAGATCGTCCGGTACACCGTGAACGGGACCATCGTCGACGCTGCTGCACTCTTCAACGTCCACGTCCACTTCCTCGTCCTCCTCGTTCCCGGACTTCTCGGTGCCTTCGCTCTCGCCCTCGCAATTTTCCACCTCGTCGTCGGCCAACAAAGCCTCCTCCGTCACCACCGTCGCAGTCGCGACGATGTTCACCGGCGACGTTCTTGCTCCTGAAACATCCGCATCTATTTTTTCGTTTAACACCTTGCGTCGCAAGCAACGTTCGATATCGAGAAGAAAGAAAAAGTAAGAGGGAGCAGCTGATCGTCGGTGCCGTTTCGTAAATGACAAATAATGTTTGTATAAGAAGGGGATTGTTAGCGAAACGATGTTTCTGCACGTCGACGGTATTGGAATGGAGCAGCGTGTCGATTTAAACGAGCAAGATGAAGCAAAACGATAGCCAAGGGAGTAGAGAGAAACGTAGCTGGAGCGGGGGTAATTAATCGAACCGGCCGCGCATCTGCTACGAAGGTGGCGCCTAATTAAACCGTCAGATTTCAAGAAAGCCAATCCACCGCGCCAGTGTACACAATGTTAATTGCACCAGTCACGATACCGATCTGTTAATTTGTACTATTCCGCGCGAACAATGCGTCTTCCGGCCTCGTATCTCAAATTGGATCCGCGGACTGATACCTCGTGTGCATTTACGCACACTGGTGTCGAGCGCGTGTCGTAGACGGGGGGAAAAAAAATTGCTTCTATTCCAGATAAAAGTCTTTTCTTGTTTCTTTCGTCTACCGAAGGGAGAAGGTAACGTACAACTTGGAGGAAGTTAAATTTTGTGAAATTTGAATTCAAGAGAAAAACGGTTATCGAAGCGAGCGAAGGCTGATTACGGGGATGGCGCGGAAGTGGAACCGAACGGTAGCGAGACGAGTTAAAAAACACAGTCATAAGGAACGCAAGGAGAAAGAAAGAAAGAAAGAGGAACGGTCCTGCCCCGTTAAGAGGATTGGCTGACGATCGCGACAAGAAGGCAGCAATTTCGAGTCAGTCACCGTTCTAAAAGTATGCGGCATACGGTATCGCGTCGCTCAAACTGTTTCGGAAACGTTTCAACTCGTGCCAGCTTAACGTTTCCTTCGATACCCGACTGCCTAAACCGGTTTTCCGTCAAATTTTCGACCCTACCTATGACAACCATGACCGTTGACCAATTACTTTCACCGTTTTCATCTGCTCGTTTCGTTACCACGCTCTCTTAACGCACGGATAAATTTGTTTAACGAGTCATTAAAATTTCATTAAAACCAGAGACAGATACTTTGGCAGTCGTGAAGATTGTCCGCAAACGTTCTTCGACAACAATGGCCGATCGTTGAGAGAATAAAAGAAGATAGTATCCTTGATGACCGGGTAGCGGTCGGTCGGTGTGTAAGAAGAGGAACAACGAGGACGCGTTAAAAACGATGCCGAGTTAAGAGCCAGCGGATCGCGTGCGTCTCTCGCTGCTTGCGTGCACTCGCATCTGCGTGCACTGTACACGTACGCACTCACGCACGATCTGCCACTTGTCGTACATGCATACATACCCCTTTACTCCACCCATCTACCTTTCGTTCCATCAAACTGCCTCGACAATAATAACGCGATTCTAAAGACATTGCGTTCGATCCGACCTCGCGACCAACTGCACGCTCCTCTTCCTACCTAGCTATGTGTGCGACCCACCGTGTTCTCGCGTAACAGATGAAATTCCACAATTTCCTTATTGAGCCATCAAGCAGGACTGGTTTCGCGAAACGCGTGCGTCGCTTCGAAACAGCCGGCCGACAACAGTGTGACCATCGGGGAAAGCCTGGTGTTAAAATTAACACCTCAACCGTGCGTGTTGCGTGCGCTCCGACCTCCACTGTTCTTTCGCACCGCGACCGTTCGCGATTTTCTCATTTCGAATTCTCCTCGGTACCAATTCCACCTCGACAAAAGGCTATCTTCAAGAACGCTGGACCTTTCGTTCGAACAGAAGCGGCACACGAATATTCTTGAAAACCACTCCGTAACGGCCATGTACGCGATCAAACGGAGGCAATAACGACCTTCCACGTTCTTCGAGCGTGTATTAATAAGGTTGTGTAACGACACGCGACGCGTTACACAGGTACAGATAGCTGGGCGTTGATTTCAAGTACACGCGGCTAACCGGACGAATCGGGGATATTTACGGCGTTACGTGATCGAATCCAGAGCGGTAGCTTCCATAAAACCGGAAGCTACGTCGCCGTCGT